TGCAGCACTTTCACAGCATCATCTTTTAGGATTTGAAATAGCTCAGCTGGAATTCCATCACCTCCACTAGCTTTGTTCATAGTGATGCTTCCTAAAGCCCACTTGACTTCACATTCCAGGATGTCTGGCTCTAGGTGAGTGATCACACCATCGTGATCATCTGGGTCATGAAGATCTTTTTTTGTACAGTTCTTCTGTGTATTTTTGCCACCTCTTCTTAATATCTTCTGCTTCTGTTAGGTCCATACCATTTCTGTCCTTTATTGAGCCCATCTTTGCATGAAATGTTCCCTTGTTATCTCTCATTTTCTTGAAGAGATCTCTAGTCTTTCCCATTCTATTGTTTTTCTCTATTTCTTAGCACTGATCACTGAGGAAGGCTTTCTTATCTCTCCTTGCTATTCTTTGGAACTCTGCATTCAAATGGGTATGTCTTTCCTTTTCTCCTTTGTTTTTCCACTTCTCTTCTTTTCACAACTATTTGTTAGGCCTCTTTGGAGAGCCATTTTGCTTTTTTGCAAGGGTGCAGGGAGGGGCCAAATGCAGTGGGCGCAGGACTGGGAGGGAGCCTGTGGCTGAGTCTGGGTTAACTCCTTGCTGGAGGGCAGAGCAGGCTCCTGGCTGGAGCAGACCAGGCCAGGTAACGCTGTTAACAGACTTCCCAGGTGACACAGTGGTAAAGAATCCGCCTGCCTATGCAGGAGACTCAGGTTCGATCCCTGGGTCAGGAAGATCGGCTGGAGTAGGAAATGGCAACCTGCTTCAGTATTCTTGCCTGGTAAATTCCATGAACAGAGGAGCCTGGCAGGCTACAGTCTGTTACATACCTCCGGTCCCCCAGCAGTTATTTCTAGCGACAGGATTTGAACCCAGTGCTCACTGGAAGTTTAGCCACCATACCTGGCAGTATGCTCTGCCTACCCCCCTATTGAATCCCCCGGCTCCCAACCTGAGCCTTGCTGGTCAGCATTAAGCCTACAGTCCCTGTTCATCCATCACCACTGCCTGGCCAAGGGGTGCAGTTGGAGGGACAAGGCACAGTGTGACCTCAGGGACCCATGGGTCTAGGATGGGGGCGGACTTCCATCAAAGGGTCACACAAATCTATAATTACAGGGCCTGCAGGGGAGGATGTCAGGCAAGACAGGTGAAGGAGGTAACATTTCGATCGTGACTTTAAAGGCTGAGTGGGCAAAGCTGAGTGGGAGGGGAAGTTTGCAGGGGTGGGGAGCGGGCTCCCGGTACGCTGCAGGGCCTGGGTTCTAGCGACCACTCCCCGGGGCCTCAGTTTCCCTGTTAACGAAGTGCTTGGGAACCTGCCTCGTCCTCCCCCATCGGCGTTCGGGGGAAGGTGCCAGGGAAGGGGCTCAAGTGGCCCTCCGAGCCGGGGCGGAGCGGGGCGGGGCGGGCCGGGGCGGGCCGATCGCGCCCGGAGCGGAGGGCGGGCTGGGCGGGCGCGGCGCGCAGTGCGTGCGGCTGCGGAGCGCGCGGCTCGCCGGCCGCGGGAATCACATGAGCAGCGGCCCGTGAGTGCCCGGCAGCCGCAGCGCAGCAGCCTCACGGCCCGCACGACCCTAACCATGTCTGTGTGCTGTTGCTTCTTTTTCAGAGACTACGGCAGTTCCAAGAGGAAATCAGGTAAGGCAGCCTCCGGTCGTTCTTCCCTCCAACCTTCCCTCCCGCTTCGTGCACGCGCCGCTCTGACCCTGCGGGGGACTTTGTGGGGGCTTGTCCTCGCCCGCCTGCCCCGTGGTCCTGCTCGCTTTCTGTTGCCCCCATCCCCAGCTCCTGCCCCCTAAGACGTCTGGTACTCGCATCCCCTCCTCCCTCCTCGTCCCTCGGATTCTCCCCGGTGCTGATGAAAGTGGGTGCATGGAGAGTGGGGGGCCTAAGCCCCCTAGATCCGCGCAACGTGTGCAGCCGGATCCTCCCCCTGGGGCTGCGGGGTCGACTGCTGGGCACTGCTGGGATTTCTCCCTGGGTCCTTACCGCGGTGCGGCAGGCAGCCACGGAAGGGTTAATAGAGATGCTGGATTTTCCCCGTGAGAAGGTGAGATCTAGGAGCAGGGCGGGGGTGGGGCGGGGGGCCCGGATCGTGCCGAGTGACTGTGAGTTTCTAACGCCTGAGGAGCTGCCTTGCCCCTTCTTCCCGGACTGTGAGCGCCTGGTCCACGCTGCGGGGGTGGGGGCTCTGCGCGGTGGCCCTCGGAGACTGGGTAGTAGGGCTCTGACCTGCCCCGGCGTTGGCCCGGCAGGTGCCAGGGCTCACCCGGAGTTTGCGAAGCTGGTGGAGACAAGGAGCGGCGGGGCAAGTCCTTGGACGCTGGACGCTGGACGCTGGGCGCTGGGCGCTGTCCGCTGGGCTCAGGATTCTCGCGGGGGTGGGGGTGGGGGGAGGAACTGGGCAAATGCCTGCACGTGGGCGGGGTGCAGTTATTTGGGGGAGGGTGGTCCCTTGTATTTAGGGATGAGTGTGTACTGGGAGTTGCCGGGTAGTGAAGGGATTGGAACGATCTGTGTTATTCCTACTTATGGGGGTGGTGAGTTGTGGGGGTGGACAGCCCGGGGGGAGGCGGGTTCTGGCCCTTGGGGGTGTGGGACGTGTGGAAGAACACGTGGCTCACATTAGCGGCTCACCTTGTGGGCAGGTGCTTTGAACCCTGGATCAGTAGAGGAATATGCCTGCGTGTGAAAGATGGGCTGTGAATTGGGGTAGCTGTGATTGCATGGTGTGTTTCTGAGTGTGGGTTCCTATGTTTTGTGTGTATCAGTGTTTGCTTATATGTTCACTGGGATGAGAAAAGGTGTGTCCTGGTTTATATATAGGGGGCATGAGTGTGGGGGGGGTTGTGCGTGTTCACGTGGGGTTTCGCAGCTGTGTGCTCTTGAGGATGTGTTTCCTTGTTTAGGTGTGTGTGCCAGTGTGTTGGGATGTATCCATTTGTGGGTTGGCATGGGTGCTGTGTCCAGCTGTGGGATGAGGCACATGCCCACACATACCTGTCACCTGGGCAGGGGTGTTTCAGGTGTGCACACCGCCGTATGACAGGGCATCTCCTCTGTGAACAGGAGGCTGAGGCCGCCTCAGCAACTTGAACTGCAGCATCTTCTCAGCGGCCACTTGTAGCCAGAGCCCTAGGTGGGGGAACTGGGAACGGGGGGTGGGGGGGGCGAACCGGGAGAGGCGCTAGTGGTAAGGAACCCGCCTCCCAACGCAGGAGACTTAAGAGACACTGGTTCGATCCCTAAGTTAGGATGCTCCCCTGGAGGAGGCTTGGTCAGCCATTCCCGTATTCACGCCTGGAGAATCCCATGCACAGAGAAGGCTGGAAGGCTAATGGTCCATAGGGGTCTCCCAGAGTCGGACATGACTGCAGTGACTTAGCACACAGGCACACCCCCTCCTCCCCAAGAAACTTGCCCTGAACCTCAGAGGTGCAGTGACTGGTTGAGCCTGGGCTGAGATTCTGGCACCAGTTTCATGACCTCTCTGCCTCAGTTTCCTCACTCCTTGAAAAAACAGGGATAATGATGCTCTCTGTCTCACATGTAGAAGATTCAAGAAGTTAATGCAGAAAAGTCCCTCATACACAATAACTGCTGTAGAATCATGAAATTTATTGTCATCATCATCACTTTCTGAAGCCCTGGGACCTCAGGTGAGTCCCTTCTCTACTCTCAGCCTCAGTTTCCTCCCCCATAGAGTCATGGACTGGACCAGATAATCTCCCAGGTGCCCTGCCCTCAATCTCTGAGCCTCAGATTCTGTGCTGCTTCCTAAGCAAGGCAGGGCCCCACCCAGGGAAAGCTTCCCCGGTTTCTCTGCCTCCCACTCTCAGGCCAGGAAAAGGATGGATGGAGAAATTTAATTTATGCTGCTGTGCTTATGATAATGGCCACTTACTGTCATGGTTAAAAGAGTCAGCTCTGCAGTCAGACGGCAGGAGTTTAGAGTCTGGCTGTTCAGACTTTGGGCAGTCCTCCTACCCTCTCTCTGCCTGTCTTCTCTTCTGTAAACTAGGGATACTATTCTTACCCACCTTGTAGAGTTAATTTTCTGTGTCAACTTGACTGGGCTACAGTGCCCAGATATTTTGTCAAGCATTATTCTGGATGTTTCTGTGAAGGTGTTTTTTGAATGAGATTAACTTTTAAATCAGTGGACCTTGAGTAAAGCAGATTACCGTCCCTAATGTGGGTTGGCCTCATCCGATCAGTCAAAGGCCTTAAGGGAAAGACTGACTTCCCCCAAGCAAGAAGGAATCTGCCAGCACTTTTGGACTTGAACTGCAGCTCTTCCTTGAGTCTCCGGCCTATACGCCTATCCCCAGCAGATTGTGGGCTCATCAAAGCCCCATAGTCACATGAGCCAATTCCTCCCTCTCTTCTCTCTCTCTCTCTCTCTTTATCAATATTCTGTTCTGTTTATCTGGAGAATCCTGACTAATACATACCTCATGGTTATAATGAAAATTACATAAACTTCTATATTTATTTATTCAGCTGCACTAGGACTTGGTTGCAGCATATGGGATCTAGTTCTCTGACCAGGGATTGAACCCAGGTTCCCTGCTTTGGTAGCATGGAGTCTTAGCCACTGGACCCCCAGGGAAGTCCCACATAAACTTCTATATGTAAGTCTGCCTAGAACACTGCCTGCACCCTGGACAGTTCTCCTGAAGTGCTAGCTACTATTATTATTTAGTGAGCATCTACTATGTACTGGAGGACTTCCCTGGTGGCTCAGATGGTAAAGCATCTACCTACATTGCAGGAGAACCAGGTTCGATCCCTGGGTCAGGCAGATCCTCTGGTGAAGGAAATGGCAACCCACTCCAGTACTCTTGCCTGGAAAATCCCATGGATGGAGGAGTGTGGTACGCTACAGTCCATGGGGTCGCAAAGAGTCGGGCACGACTGAGCAACTTCACTTTCACTATGTACTGGCAACTTTATATATCTATTTCTTCATTTCCTACTCAGAGCCACATTGCATGGTGGCTCATGGGATTCCCATTTCACAGATGAGAAGCTAAGTCTCCAAGGGTGGCTGCCTGGAGTCTGTGGCAAAGTGGGCGTCTGAGTTCATGTTTGGGGTTTCACTCTGCTCTGTGATGAAGCTCACGAAGCTTCCCAGGGTGACTCCAGTCAGGGATGTTTGTGTAGAGAACACGAATGCTTGTCGCTGGCCACCTCTTGTCACGCTGTAGTCCCCAAACCCCAGCTCATCCTTGGAGGATCTCTGGAGGGATTTCCTATGGAGCGCAGAGCTAGGACTACAAGGCAGACCTGGGGAGGGTGGCTTGAACAGGAAGAAAGTGCTCAGACAGATGGCAGCCTCACAGAGGAGCCAGGACTGGCGACTTTGATACCCAGAAGACAGTATAGCTTCAAATTTATCTCTGCTCCTTCCCTCCATGGAACTTGCTCCTTCTCACATCTTCCTGCTCCCACCACCCACCCTGTTGCTTAAGCCCAGCACCAAGAAGTCATCCCTGACCCCTCCCTTCCTCTCACCTGCCCACCTGACCTCCAGAACCACCCCCTTTTCCCACCTCCACCATCACACCTGTTAGAAGCCCCCTTTTCCCTCAGAGGACCTCAGCTTCCTCCTCAACCTGTCTGCTCCCACCCTCGCCCCTCCACACTGTTCTCCATGCCACAGAGTGAACTCCTCCAAATATGGGTCAAATAATGTGCCTTTCTGCTTAAATTTCAAGGATTTCCCACCCACCCAGAAAAACCCTTGATCCCGGCTTTCAGAGCCGTGTGTGCTCTGGCCCCTGCTTACCGTCCCACCCCGGGCTCTACCCTCGCCCCTGCCCACCTTCCCCACCCCAGCAGTCTGCTCACTGCTGACTGTACCCGTCACCTTCCATTCCTGAAATGCAGCAGGCTCACTCTCTTCACACGGTCTTTGCACTTGCTGTTCCCCCTGGCCTTAATGCTGTTCCCTGTTCTCGCACATGGCTGCCTCCTTAAGATTTCTGCTCAGAGAAGCTGCCCCATGCTGCATTATCTAGCTGCCCCCCCCACCCTCAGACCACGCTGCTTCTTCCCTGCATGTCACTGACCGCACTCTAGTTACCTTGTGGGTTTTCTTGTGTTATCTGTGTCCCACCACCTTGAAAGCAGAGCCCTTGCCGCAGAGCCTGCACAGGTAGCAGGAACCCCCCGTGCTGGTTGAATGGCGGCACCATTCAAGAAGAAGGCCTGGGTGCATAAATGACACTGCAGGTCAGGAAGGAGAGTCGCTGCGGCCTCAAGTCAGGGATATTGTCTGGAAAGAGGAGGAGTTTGGGTGATTAGCGGCGGAGAGCCGGGGCTTTGCCAAGTCAAGACACAGTACTTGCACACAGGTGGGGGAGCAGGACCCAGTGCAACTTGTTTGGAGACCAGCTACTGCAGCTGCCCTTATTGAGCACCAGCTGTATGCTGGTCAAGTGTTGAGGTGACCGAAATGTGCCTTTCTGACCTCGAGGGGTTTGCAGTCCACTCTGGGTGATGAACTGTGCAGAAACAATGTACTGTTGGACAGGGAAGCAAGGAAGTGGCGTGGTCACCATAGGAAGAGCCATCCAGGCCAAGGGCACAAGCAGTGCAAAGGCCCAGAGGTGGGAGCATGGTGGTCTGCCCGCTCAAGGCACGGCTGGGAGGTCTGTGGCTGGAGGGGAGTAGAGGGGAGGTGAAGGTGTTAGGGGCGAGAGCAGAGATGTGGTGGGGGTGGGGCAGCAGCTCAGACCACGTCAGACCTCTTAAGGGTTTCGGCCTTCACGGTGAGAGAGCTGAAGAGCCACTGAGGGGTTCTGAGGAGAGGGGACATGATCTGCCTTAGCTCTCGGAATGGTTTTTTGTGGCCAGTGAGTAGAGATGGTCAGGGGAGGAGACCAGCGATGAGGGGGCAAGGACGGTGATGGAGGACGATGTGGGCCTTGGGGGGTAGCTTACGCCAGGTTCCCTGGGCTCCCATTCACAGCCCCATGACCTTGGGCAGATCTCTTCACCAGAGCTCCACGCCCTTACCTCTTCTGTTGTGTTGGCTGGATTCAACTGGAGAAGCCAAACCCATAGGAGCTACTGTATATATTACATTTCATGCAAGGAACTGGATTATGCAATTGTGGGCCAGTCAGGCAAGTCCGAAACCCAAGAGCAGGCTGGGGATTCAGTCCACAGGTGAAATTTCTTCTGCAATAACACCTCAGCTCTGCCCATTAAAGCATTTCGGCTGAGGGACCCAGGGCCCCTCAGAGTATCAAGTGTAACGTCAGTGAAAGCCAGCTAATGTTGAACCTGATCACCCCTGCATAATACCTCCCGAGCCATTCCTGGATGAGTGTGTGGTTGGATAACTGGGGATCATAGCCTAGCCCGAGTGATGGGCACGCCCTTGAAAATGGAGTAGTGGCCACCTGCAGGAACGTGCAGAAGGTTCAAGGGCGTGATGCAGTTAGAGGGCTTTGTGCCGTGCCCAGCAGTAGGATGGGCCAGTCGGTGATTGGCTTCCCCCAGGTGAGCACTGCTGCAGGAGCCCCTCATCCTCCAGACCCCCCCCACCCACCCACCCAGAGCAGGGCATTCTCTTCAGACCTGCAAAGATGGGCTGGGGCCCACACTCTTCTGGTAAGTTGCATGGCTCCAGTTCCGGTGGCTAGGAAGTTCCACCAGGGGGCGCAGGCGTCCACAGATCCTCTGGGATCATCCTGGCCCTGGGGTTGTGTCTGAAGCTGCATCCCACCCAGGAGTCCTGTGATGAGCTGCTGCTCATTTAAATGCAAATGAGGTTGCTCAAGTGTGTTGCAAGTTTGTTCTTTTAGGTCAGTGTTGATGCTCCTCGTGAGATCCTGTTTACTTTATGCTTTTCCTTGGAAACTTGGCAAGCTCAGCCAGCTTCCATTTTAGTACCATACAGGTTGCATCATTGGATGGAGTTCATGAGATCAGTATTACTGTAGTCTGACAACAGAGAAGCGTGTCGCCTGGAGTTCAGAGTTCCTGTTTTGGCGTCAGACAGGGTCTGAGCTCCTGCTCTGCCATGTGTTTGCTCTGTGACTGGCAAGCTGCTTGACCTCTGACCTCATGCCTCCATATGGAAAACGGGGGTAAAAATAGTGCCTGCCTCTATGAATGGTAAGGATTGAATTAGCAGGGGGTGGCACATAGCATGCTCCCAATGATAGCAGCTGCCATTGTTGTTCTTTTAATTATTGATAGGTTCAGAAAGGAAGGGGGTTTGAGGGGTTAAAAAAGACCTGACTTGAAGCATAATTTTCATTTTGTGAGCAGAGGGCCTGGCCTCATAGGAGACCGAACCTAGTCTCAGAAAATTCTGCAGAGTTAAGACACGCTCTGGAGCCAGAACACATAGTTTTGTGTCCCAGCTCTGCCAGCCAAGTCCTTAACTTCCCTGTGCCTTGGTTTGCTCATCAATGAAATGGGTATAATGGCCACTTCAGCAGGTGGCCTGAGGCTTGAATAGGAGTTAATACATGGGAAGAGTCTGGTGCAGGAGACACCAAGGGTTAAGCCATTTCTGAGTAGGAGGCAGCTCCTAAACAGGAGGGACTACTGACTTTGGCATTTACCTCCTGCAGGAGAGACTCCTTTCAGAGTGGGAAGGCTGTGTGTGCACCATCTCATAGTTGCTAGCCAGCCTTCCAATAGCCTGGGTGGTCTTATCCCCCTTTTATAGACCAGGAGAGGTAGGTCCAGGTCACCAAGGTCACCTGACCAGGTGGACAGGATTCAAATCTCGTTCTTCCGATTCGAGCCTCTTTCCACTGAAGTCTGTTCCTTCCTGAGACCCGAGGGATCCACAGAGAGTAAGACTGGGCTCCGGAGACCTCTGGCAGGAGTTCCACAGACCGGGAGAGGGCCTGCCCCAAGAGAGCACCCCCCTACCCCGTGGTGTCTATAGAGGGGGTCCACTGGGCACAAGGAATTCTTCATGAGGTAAAGGGTCCCTTTGCAGGCTGTGGCTAGTATCCCTTCATTTCTCTTTGTATGAATTTGGTCTTTAATAAGGTGTATTTGGCTTCAAACCTGTAGGTTCTGTAGGTTCTGACTACTATAAAAAGGTAGTCTGCCCTCCTTTGACAGAGGAAATGACTAAGAGAGGGGCTGCTGCCTTCCCAAGGGGAGGGGCAGACAGAACCTGGCTTCCTGCTCATGGCACTCCCACCAAATCCTGCAATGAGGCAGGGGTGTGAGGAGGGCCAGGATGAAGCAGAGAAAGCAGGTCTGTAAAGCCTCTGGTGCCTCTGGGATGAATGCACCCCCCACCCCACCCCAGAACGCAGAGTAGGGCCAGGCCCTCTCGGACCCTGGGCCGCCCTGCTTACCAGCCGCAGAGGGAGAGGGGCAGATGGCAGCAGCCTTCAGTCCTCCCCTGGAGGCTTCCATTTCTTTTAAGTGATTACTGGTTCCTGGCCTCATGGAGGTCACAGCTCAACTGAGAAAGCAGGATGTGCTCAGGGATTCATTGATGAATGAGGGCCATGATGGGTTGTGATGCACGGGAGTCAAACAGAAGGGGCGGGGGGAGGAGGGGGTACCAGCCAAGAGGGGAGGGGCTGGGGATGTTTGCTGGAGGATGGGAGGGGTAGGCATGAGCAGAGAGGCGGGCAGACACTCCTGATAGAAGGGCTGGGTCTGAGCAAGGACTCTGAGTCTGGGATGTGTTTGAGGGAAGAAGAGGTTGTCTAGCCTGGCAGACATGAAGGGCTAGGAAGAGGGGGAGGGCAGGAGATATGTCTGGAAAGGAAACCTGGGAGAGTGTATCAGCAAGCCTTTTCCAAAGCTTTCTTTTCTGCCCAAGCCATCCATCCTCAGGGAGAAAGGCCCAGGCTGCTTGGAGAACATGGCCAAGACATTCCTGGCACCCTCCGATGGCCTGTTCCAAGAGTGAACGTGTCTCGTGAAGGCATTGCCTTCTGGCGCATCTCGCCCGGGCTGGTGTTTTTAAATAATTTTTATTTGTGTGGCTCTGGGTCCCCAGCCTCATGTCACCCCTGGAGTTCAAAGCCAACTAATTGGGAATGAAGGAGGCCGATTGGTTTGGCAGTTCCACCACCAGCCTATGTGGCAGTAATGTGTGTGTGTCTGGCCACAGGCAGTGTGGTCCCACTGCCCTACTGGCCTGGACACTCGGAGCAGGGGTGGGGGAGGGGAGGGCTCCCCGAATCCTGGGAGTACACATCTCACACCTGGGAAGTGAGGCAACTAGCAGGTAGGTAGCCTTGATCCCCTCCGTCCTGCTTGCTTGGCTTCTATCTGCCCCTCAGTCCTGTCAGCTGACCTGTCCTGCTGGAGTGATGGGAAGATGGCCTGGAAGGGGACAGCATGTGCTAAGGTCCAGGGGTGTGCTGAGAGTCCTGAGCCCGCTTGTTGAAGCACAGATTCCTAGACCCAGATCTACCAAATGAGCAGCTCTGGGTATGGCACCCAGAAACACCAGCCAGCTTTGATGGGCTCCCCAGGTATACCCTGAGATCAAGGCTGGGCTCAGTTTGGGATGGATCATCCATATGGGTTGATGGCCATATTCAGGGCAGGCAGAGAGTGAGGGGGCAGAAGGCTTGGACCCCCAGGTGGACTCTAAATAAATGGGGCTGCTCCTGGAGGGTGCGATTTGGTCATGTCCCCGGGGTGAGGGGTGGGGGCAGTTAAGAGGACAGTTTTGTTACCACAAGGTTTTCTTCTTCAGGGGAAGAGACGCCTGCATTGTGGTCCAGCAAATCCCCACTTGGGCATTTTGGTTTATAAACATGTGACAAAAGAGGCAACATTTCCAGTAACGACAAAGCCAATGGAAAAACAAAGATTCGGGGGAAATGTGCGTTACTTATTGTGTTAGCACCTTTTTCTGATCTGAACTTTACTTTGTTTAGAAACAGAAATGTAGCGTGTGTAGCTCAGTTGGCTCGTGACATTTTTATAATTGGTCAGTTCTGAAATGTGGCGGCAAAGAAAAATTTTCCAGCATTTCAGCAAAACTTAGACTTTTGCGAGGAAAAAAAGTGTTTTTCCCCAACTCTTTCTGCTTTGCCCCCTGGATCTTGTCATCAACACATGTGACCCAAGCAGCTGGTAAGAAGATGGATTTTGTTAACATTAGAACTGAATTCTTGTATCAGGAAAACTGAGCCATGTCAAAAATTCGCTTCACTTCCCCATGCTCGTCCTCGTCAAGATGCTTCCTCCTGGCGTTGCATTTGGCTAGTGGATACAGTGGTGTAGGAAAAGCCCCCCACAGGTGTCTGCCTTTTCTGTTATCCAGGGTCTCCCCCTTGGCCCTGGGCCACCTTAGGCTCCCTGAGTGTTGGATCAATGTGTCAGGGTTGGGTACATAACTGTTCCCGGAGGAGGGTGAGGTCCTTGCAAAGTTGTGATGACAGCTAGTGACAAGAAGCCAAATTAAGACTGTCTCTGTTGGCATCAGCTCCCCTGGGGAGACCTTGCAAACAGGGCAGATTTTAACATCCCTTATCCCGGATCTGTCCGGGTCAGGCAGTTTCTCCTTGTCTGCCTCCTGGTCCGCATGGCCTGGCCACACACCATCCCTGCCTGGAGCCCAGTGGCTCTGAGAGCCCTGTCAGTTCCTCACTTGCATTTGGTCACAGGGTTCTGAGTAAGAGGGCCCCTTCCTCAACTTCTTCAGTGACCTCGGTTGCCCTCTCTGCTCTAAGCCCAGGGCTCCGCTGACACTCATGGCAGCTCTCCCAGAGGTGGGGGTGGCGGAACCCTCAAGGGCTAGCTAGATTGATAAGAAGTGAGTTTCCCAATGGATGCTGGTATCAGACTCCCTAGGATTAGGTGTTCATGCCAGACCTAGAGCTGATTCCCTGGCACTGGCTGTGGCTGTCGTGTAGATTTGGTCCAGTGAACATCTCAGTATCCCCTCTGTGCCAGGCCCTGTGGTCCAAACCCAGGGATATTGAGGTGGGCATCCTGAGGTCTGTGTCCTGGTTGGGTCAGGGAGGTGGGAAAGTAAACAGCAGTTATGGTGTGATGTCCAAGTGCTACAGTGGGGGGTGGGGTGATGGTGGGAGCCTCCCCTGGAGAAGCATAGATCTGCTTGGGGGTGGGGTGCTGAGTGAGGCCTTCCACCCCTGGTTCCCTGAGGTTTTCAATGAGTCATCCCGGAGGAGAGGGGAGAGCAGCCTGCAGAGGCATCTGGGCAGGCTCAGCATTGGCTATGTGAGCATGCCACGTCCTCTCCACTGGATTGGGGCATGTCCTCCGTGTCCCCCGATACCTTCTGGGTGGTGCTGTTTCAGAGATACCACTGTAGGTGGTCACTCATTCACTAAAGCTGTTGAAGCTTAAAAAGTTCTGATTTATAAAATAATATACGTGCCTGAGTTGGAGAGAACTTGCCCCAAAGATCAAAGGCCCCTCTGACCTGTTAGGAGAATCTGGCTTCCAGTGGACTCCTAGAGGCCACATGCCCTGTTTCCATATGATTCCAGGGCCACAACCCACCCAGCCAAGTGCCCAGCACTAGGAAGGGCTCATTAAATCCCTGACTGACTGACAGGTCTCTGTTGGGGAGGGAATCTTCATCTACTGGGTCTCCCTTGCAGTTGATAGTTGACCAGGGTTGACAGGGACAAAGAAATAGCAGCCCTCTCAAGTCACAGGTGAAGACCAGGGGGACCCTGAGAAGTGGCCCCACCTTCCCACACTCTCTGAGCACCGGTCTCCTCCCTGGCTTTCCCCATGAGTCCCAGAGCTGTGGTGCCAAAGAGTTAACTTCATGCTCCCCCAGAGAGCTTGCACACTCCTGACCCTCCCCTGTCCTCCAGGCCCTCCCAGCTGCGGCCTCCTGGGCATAGCTCAATCACGTGAGAGCCAGATGTGGGGATTTCCCAAACTGTGTGTGTGTGTGTGTGTGTGTGTGTGTGTGTATGAGAAAGAGTAAGCATGCATGCATTCGCGTGCACACACATAGCCTTCTCTGTTTACGTGGCATCTGAGAGCTCGGGGGATTGGTCCAGACCCACGCAGAGCAGGAGTGGGATGGGGGTGAGGAGAGGCCTAAGGCTGCAGGCACACACCCTGGGAGGCTGTGCTGAGCTCTGCTGAGCCCTGCTCCCACCAGACATCATAGATAAGCCAGTTGTTTTTGCTCAGACTCCCATTTCCTGCAACATCCATCTTGCCATAGACCATATTGCTCATGGATAATTTTTTAAAATCTCTTTGAAGGGCTTTACAGCAGATGCTGGAAGCCTGCAGCTTCCAGGGATGTTCTGCCGGGCTTGGGGGGCCTGCCCGTGAGTTACCTTGTCCGGCACCAACTAGGCTTAGGGTCTTTCCCAGCCTGAGGATGCCTGTATGTGTCTCGGGCCACCCCAGCCAAAACCTAGGCTAGAGCGAGTGCAGGGCCCTGGGCGCCAAAAAGGCCCTGGAGCAGCGGGGTGAGCGAGACCTCAGTTTCCCCACAAAACCTTGGGGACTGAGGGCATTGAGTAGGTGTCCTTCCATCAGCCTCTGGGGACTTCCTGTGAACCGCCGGCTGTGTTCAGTGTGCTGTGAGGACGCCGAGAGGGTTAAGACCCCAAAGGAACTTCAGCTCTGGTTGGAGAGACTCGTAACAAATTTTGAAGAATCACCTGCTCTTCAGATGCTTGATAGGACTCCCGCATTATCCAGACATTCTGGAGCCAGTTGAGAGAGTCAGTGAACCACACGGAGACCCTGCCCAGGGCAAGATGAGGGCAGCCTGCAAACCTTGAAAAGGGGGTCATCCTCAACTCCACAGGTGAACTCAGCTCCCAGCCCCTTCTCTCTCATCCCACCCCAGCCTCCCCTAACAGTGTCCAGCCAGATGTCACTGTGAGCCCTGCTCCAGAGGTGGGGTCCAGCAGATGCAAGGCCTCCAGGTCTCAGGCCCGCTGCACCATCCCCACCCCCACCCAAGAATCCCCTTCCGGGGCCCTGCCTGCGGTGTCCGGCTCTAGCCTGTTCAATGGTCGGGTCTGGGCAGCCTGGGACTATAATGATACACTTGAGTGGCAGCCTCAGTGGTGCCAGGCAGGTGGCTGAGGGAGCCAAATAGGCTCCCCCAAAGCTCCGTGACCCCTGAAGCAGTCAGGAACGCCTGGGAGAGTATATTTGATTGTAAATATCTATGCCCCATCCCTGAGGCTGGAGAGTCAGTGGGCCATAGCCAGGAGCCTCCAGTGTGCACATGGCAAATACTCATTAGATAGTTGGCAGTGGATTCACTGATAATCCGATGGCAGAAGTCCAGTCTGGAGAAAAGAAGGCATTGCATTTGTGTGTGTGTGTGTGGCCCTGAGATGGGGTTGTCCGTCCTGGGTCCCTTGCTGTCTATGCCATCTTTCCAGGCTCTTGTGAAGACTGAGCCAGTTGGACTGCTGGGCAGGGGCCTGGAGACCCAGCAGCCGCTCACTTCATCTCTGGCCCTCTGTTTCTGCTGCTGCTACTGCCTCATTCTCACCGGCTTTGGCCGGGGGAGCCGGTGGGTGGGAGAACTGGAGAGGGGATATCCTAGGAAGTGGGGGAGGACCACCAGGGCAGGCCACCCCAGGGAGTTGGGGGTGGCTGGGGTCCGGGAACTCGGAACAGCGTTGAGCTTGTGTCTTCCCTGCACACCAGTGCCTTGGCGTGGGGAGAGGTGAGGGCCAGAGAGCTGAGGGGGAGGCCATCACCCCAAGGGGCGGCCGTGGGGTCAGGCAACAGCTGTGGGAGACCTCCCCACACAGCGCCTCTCTGTCCGCCCACAGCGCAGCTCATGACCACAGCACCTGTCTTGAACCGGGAAGCTGAGGGTCTTGAGAGCAGGGTGGAAGGAGGAGGCAGGGCTGCCTGACAGCCCCCCTGGGCAGCTGCAGTGCTCCCGGGCGGCAGCCTTGGCCTCTCTGCCCACACCCACTTGGGCTAGGCTCTCTGCTGGCCCCAACCTTGGCCTCTGTGTGGGTGTCCTTGGACTTAGTCCCCAAGGGGCTCTGGAATGGCTCCAGCATCCCCCCCTCCCCATTCCCCACCTGAGCTGGGAGACTGACTGTTCTCTGACCGCCTGGCTCGGTGGCCAGCGGGTTAGTAGTGCATTCCTGCCCCAGGCTGGGCTGCCCCCACATAGACTCTGGATTCTGGGAAAGGCAAGTCCCGGGGAAGGAGGCAGGCCCCTTCCTACTGAGAGCAAAATGAGAGGGATGTGGCTGTGTTTACCAAGGGAAGCCCAACAGAAATAAATGAGCCTCACTTGGCCAATGGCCATGGTGGGGGGTGGGGAGGAACGAGAGAATGAGGTCCCCCATTTTTAGACCCCTGTGTTCCCCATTCCTGCCAACTTGCCTAGGCTCCAGTCCGACCCATCACTTCCTTGCTGTGGGGGCCTTGGGAAAAACCTTAACTTTCTTGAGCCTCACTTTCTGTGTCTGTGAAGTACAGATTGTGAAGTACAGGATTAAACTAGATAGTGCCTGTCAAATGGTCAGCCTGTTACCTAGCTTGCATGTTAAAGAAGTGGGAAGTAATATGCTTGTTCTAGCCTCAGCCCTGCCACTCATTGCTGTGTGATTTTAGGCACTCTTCTCCTCTCTGGTCCTAACTCCCTTCATGCTTCTTCCAGCCTTGTTTGTTTACTTCAGAATTCTTTGGCTCAGAACCCTCAGACCTTGGGCAGGACCAGCTACATAATTTATGGGGCCTCTTGTTCGTAAATTATTAAACATCTCAAACTGGGGAGAGAAGAGTTTTAAACCAAGCACAGGGCAGGTCACACGTCATACCGCCCTGAAGCCAGCCCAGCCTCAGAGGTTGCGAGCATCAGAGGCACAGCCAAAGGGCTGGGCGTCCCTGTAGCAGCACTGATCCCTTACCCCTCCAGTCCAAGGGTATGATCTTTTCATACCATTAAGCACTGATGACGAGCTGGAGGCTGCTGCTCACCCTGGAACAAACTGCAGAAAGGTACCCCTGTGTAGGCAGCAGCTCACACACCTTACACAAAACCATCCCCAACTTGTACCTTTGTGACTTTGGACTGGAAGTCATGTTTGAGCTATTACTTGTTCTTTGTCTTGGCCATCTTAATTCATGCCATGCTTTTTCCGGATGCCATTCATGCCACTTACACTGTCGTGCCTGTTTCCGCTGCTCTGAGCATGATGACCTATTTCAGGCCCCATATATCATGTAGGTCAAGCTGCTATTTCTTTGTGAAGCCCGTTATCCCTGGAGGGCTCTGGTAAACATTTGAGTTACTTCATGACTACGACAGGACACTGCCTGCAACAGGGATATATGGTCTCCTAGTGAAAAAGTAGTTCCTTCTCCTTCTATTAAATTACAGGGCTGGTATGGCTCAGAGAGTAAAGAGTCTGCCTGCAATAGAGGAGATACAGGGACCCGGGTTCAATCCCTGGGTCAGGAAGATCCCCTGGAGGAGGAACTGGCAACCCGCTCCAGTATTCTTGCCTGGGAAACCCCATGGACAGAGGAGCCTGGCGGGCTACAATCCTAAGGGTCACAAAGAGTCAGACCTGACTGAGTGACTCAGGACAATTAGCTGATGGCCTGAAAGCAGTGGCTGAGTTCCCTGGTGGCCTAGTCAAAAAGGGAAAGAAGCACGTGGCATCTGTAGGAAACTTTAGAAATCTAGCCCTATGGATAGTTCCCTTGTACGAAAGCAGAGGAAAGACTCAAATACTACAGATATTTAGAAATCCATTCAGGGTTGCAGTGAGGTAAGAACAATAGAATTCCCAAAGAGAGAGCTCTTGAGTGTTCAAGTACGCTAAGATACTGAAAAATGGAAGGACAGAGAGAAGACAGTGGAGTACTCGCTCCTGGCAGGGGTCCAGCTCCTCCTCCCGTCCCAGGAGCCCAGGGCGGAGGCCATGTAAGCCGATAAGGCGGGTGACCCTGCCCTGGTCCCCCTGAACCCTTGGTCTGCTTTCATTCTCCAAGGAGTTTATACTGTTGGCTGTTCTGTCTCTCCCACCTGGGCTCACAGCCCACTCTGGATTTATTAGTTTGGATGGGTGGAACATGCTCTACACCAGGGGAGAATTCCTGGAAGCATGGTTGGAGACTAGATTTGGTTAAATTGAACCCAAATCTCCCTGCTCTGGAGTTACTCAACTTTAAAAGAAACCTGATTACAAACCAATAGGAGTCCCTCTCCTAACTGAAGTCTACCCAGGTGTTTATAATGTAGTCCGTGGGCATATATATGTGTTTGAGGGGAACATCCTTAAAGTCGGGGGCCCCTGTGGTATTGTTCTTTGAACTTCTCATAACCACCTGGACTTGACCCAAGTCAGGTTCAGCACCTAAGTGTCAGGACTTGGCTGACCCCTGATTTCCTCTGGGCCTGGATTCTTGCTGCCAGTAAGCCAGGAGGAATGACTGTAGCAGGAACCCCACCTCCTGTGGGGTGACCTCAGGAGGGACCCTGTCTCCATGTTTCCTGTCTCCCAGGCACACACTGCTTTCATCACCTGCTTTGTCCCTGTCACCCACTCCCCTTCGGTATCCAGAGGCCTAATTCCTCCTGTTCCGAAACCTTCTTAAAGCAACCCTGGAAAAAAAAGTTGAAGTAGATATTTTTATCACCATTTCACAGAAGGAAAGGGGACTTGGAGATTTGCTAAATGCCCAGAATCAGTGAGCTAAAGTGGCAGAGAAAGCGCAAGAACCAAGATTTTTTAAAAAATTCTTGCTCCAGTTCCTCTTTGTCTTATGTGCCTCCTGAACTGTTGGCCTACTTCATTTGAGTTTCATATATTGAGCATGTGTTCAAGTGGTTTTCCCAGGAAAGGCAGTCTGGTTCTCTGGAAAGATTTGTTTCAGCTGTGGTGCACTTGTGTTATGGAGACTAGCAGGTTTCTACTGGAAGAGCTTAGAACATGAAACCAGTATCTTGGAGATCGGTGGGCCCCAAATGCCTGATTTTACAGATTAGCTCAGAGAAGTCAGGCCACTTGCCCAAGGTCACACAGCCAGCTGTGCAGATTCCCAGTTACATGCCCCGTGCTTTCCACCAGGCCCCGTGACTCTGCTCTTAGGGCCCTTGGTCTGTCACCAGAGATGGGGGTAGAGACAGCAGGGAGGACAGGAAGCAGTTGGTTCGTGTCACTCGCAGCTGCTCATCTGGCTGCGCCTGCCTCTTGCTCCTTCACCCTGTCCCTTCATCTCGCCATTTTCCCAGCCTTGAGCCAGCAGCCATGTCTGCCTCCTGGCTGGGGGGCCAGGGTTTGTGAGCCAGGGGCCTCTCCTCCTCTGTTCATTGTAATGAGGTGGGAAGTAGGGGCGTCCTTCCCGCCCTGGGAGAGGGCTTGCTCTGGTGGGCTGGAGAGAAGGCACTGCAAAGGCGGGTGGGATTTGGGGTGGGAGCCGCAGAACTGGATTAATTCTGTGGATCTCGGGGACTGGGAAATAAATCACGTTTTTAAAAGACTTGTTTTTTTTTTTAAAGACAGGCTCGTTTCTGGTCCGCTTCCCATTTTCCTTTGGAAAGAGGAAAGGCCTGCTTATTGAGGGGGGAGGGGGATGGGCATGAGCTCGGGTTGTTCCACGTTTAGGCGTGGGGGCTCTGTTTCCAGAGGCCGAGGGACCTCTTCCTGTCCACTGGTCCTGGCCTGCCCAGATGCCCATGCTCCAGAGGCCTGGAAGGGCATCGGACCCTTCAAGATAACGATTGAAAAAAGATCAACCAAGCGGCAAAGGCCTTGTGAGTATTTAGTCCACAGCAGCACCCACTTCTGTCTCCTAGGGGTTTGGAACAGCTCCCCTTCTCTGACAACCTCATCTCCTAGCCTAGGGGTTGGCAAATCACTGCCCACAGGCCAAGCCCAGCTCACCATGTGGTTTAGTAAATAAAGCTTTATTGGCACACGGCTCACTCATTCCTCTACAGATTGTAACATCAGAGGTGAGTCGTCTCAACAGAGACCATGTGGCCCACAAAGCCTCAAATACTGACTTTCTGGCCCTTTGCAGAAAGTCTGTCGACCACCTGTTTTAGCAGATCACGTCTTCCTGGGTTCACCAGGCTCAGGCCAAATGATTTCCCTCAGCTCACTGACAGACATTAGCACTTCCCAAACATTTCCTTCTGAAGAACCCGAAGGAAATTGCACAGAGTAGTGAAGCCAGCAGAGATGGAGAGAGGTGTGGGCAACCTGTTAGCTGGCTCCCCCAGGGCTGAGTGAGGCTGGATGGTGCTGGGAAGGGTCTGGAACTAGGCTTGCCCCAGTGGGTGAGGGTAGCCTTACTGGGTGGCAGCCCACTGGGCCTTATCTGAGGCACAGCGGCAAGAAGTCACAGCCCAGCAAGATCTGGCTCCAGACAATGAAGCCCCACGTTCTGAACTCGGACCCACTCAGCTACAGCAGTTGAAAGCCTCGAGCCTTGGAGTGTATCTGTCTTGTCATGGCCCTACCAGAGTGTGAAACCTGGGCCAGCCGGGTTCCTGCTATCCCAGGAAGCTTCTGACTGCTAAGCCCAGTAAGAGACTCTGGCCGCAGGATGCTTGTCTGTGGGTATAGTCCCCCAGCATCCGCTCCCCCCAGTTCCAGCTGACCCAGGCTCTTTGGTAGGCAACTCTGGGTGCCAGCATCTTGTTGGTGCATCTAGTATCTTATTGCCATCTGGTTCTCATTCTCATAGCTCCAGGAGTCTGACTTTCCTGCTCCCCCAAAGCTAACTGAACCAAGCTCATGGGATATGCCCAGGGAAGAGGTTCAGAGAGGTTAAGTAACTCTATCAAAGGGGCAGAGCCTAGATTTAAATTCAGACAGACTCCAGAGACCACCCCAGTAGAGTCCCACTTTGTTGGTTTTACAGTGAGCTCTGGAAGGGCCAGGCTCCCAGGTCTACATGGGGAGCCCACCTGCAATTGGAAGGTGGCTTATTGAGCAAGGGAAAGTCAGGGGCTTTAAATGGTGAATAGCTACAAACTGAAGCCTGAACCTGTTTCCCCACAAGAGATGGAAACTATACTAGCTGTGTGACCTTGGGCCAAGTTACTTAACCTCTCTGGTTCATTTTCTTCATTTTCACAATAGAGGGAATTCCTTATTGTTGTAGGTTTAGTGTGAAAAATAGATGAGTTACTATATGTAAAGTGCTCAGCACAATGCCTGGTGTACAGTCAGTGCTGTATCCGTGTCACTGCTGCAATGACTATTACTACCATCTGTCAGGTTGCTCTCCTGGCTGGCGCTGGGCAAGCAGTCCAAGGCTTTGCCTCTCAGACTTGCATCTCCACATTTCCTTCCCACTGCAGCCACTGCATCCAATGCTATTCTTGCTTGGAAGCAGTGAGCAGTTCAACAGAGGACACACCAGCTGGGGTGTCCCAGACTTGGTTCCATTTCTGCTCTACTACTATGGCCTCATTGGAACTTAGGCCAGTTCCTTCCCCTGTCTGAGCTCAGATTCCACCCGTGTAAAATGAGGCCTACCCAGCTCAAGGACTCTCAGGTGTAAACAAGCCACTGTACCCTATAGGTAAACTGTCAGCTTTATGCGCTGACCCTCTGATAGTCTAGAAATGTTCACACCATTGATTAGGCTAGGAGCTTTTTGTCTCATAATGTTACTATTTCACATCTCATGATCTTAAGTTATTTTAGATGCTTTGATTTTGTTCCTCTTGGTAAGAGGATGACTTTTAACCTCATCTGACAGATGAGGAAACTGAGGCCCAGATCCCACATGACTGTCTGAGCCTGGACAAGAGCCCTCATTTTTTCTGGTCTCTAAAGGTCCCCATTCTTCTGGGTTGGAGTTGGGGGGTGGGGCAGTTGGGACTTTTTAAAATGAAGCTTCCTTCCATTCTGCCAGGCCTGTCTTCTAAAGTGAAAGAAAATGAAGTCGCTCAGTCTTGCCCGACTCTTTTCGGCCCCATGGACTGTAGTCCACCAGGCTCCTCTGTCCATAGAATTCTCCAGGCAAGCATACTGGAGTGGGTTGCCATTTCCTACTCCAAGGGATCTTCCTGGCCCAGGGATTGAACCCAGGTCTCCTGCATTGCAGGCAAATTCTTTGCCATCTAAGCCACCAGGGCTTGGGCAAGGGCTGGATAAGACATGGAGGCCCAAGTGGTGCAGTGCCCAGAGGCTGGAGGCTGGAGGCTGGCTTTGGTCTCTCCAGCCCTGGTGGCTAAAGCTCCAGGCCCAGCCTGCTGAGCCTGCTGGCCTGGTGAGGATCCCTGGAGCCACCAGGCCCTGTGGGGCCAGCCACCCACGTGGCCAGAGAGGAAGGTCCAGGCTGCCTTCTCCAGGGCAGTGATAACCCACGGGCCCTATTCCAGGCCGGGATTGTGCTGAGCCTGCTGGCCTGGTGAGGATCCCTGGAGCCACCAGGCCCTGTGGGGCCAGCCACCCACGTGGCCAGAGAGGATGGTCCAGGCTGCCTTCTCCAGGGCAGTGATAACCCACGGGCCCTATTCCAGGCCGGGATTGTGGAGGATTCTCTGTGCTCCAGAGGATTCCTGCGTTTTGCAGACACCTCATTATCCCCGTCCTGGCCGGCAGCGTCCCAGCGCCTCTGTAATCACTCCGGCCCACGCCCAGCAGCCGTCCCAGGGCCAGGAAATCACTCCCCTCCCCTCCCCCGCCTTCCGCCGCCGGCCCAATGCGGCGCCTGCAGCCACTCGCCTGTGGACCTCCTGCCTGCCTAACGGTTGTCTCTCCTCCTCTGATTCTCTCCTTTCCTGCTGCTGCTTGCTCTCGGGGGGACTCGGAAGTGTGGCTCTCCGGCTGGGCTGAGTCTCCCAAGAAGGACGTGACAGGTACCGCCTGGTGTACATGTGAGCGCATGCATGTGAACATGTGTGTCCCTGCGTGTGGGCGTGGGAGCCGGTGCCCACCGGCCACGTTCTGCCTGCTTCCCTGTGATGTGTAGCAGCTCTTTGTCAGCATGTTGGCGTCTCCTCAGCCCGCTCTTGTCCTTTCTGCTGGCCTTCCCCTCTGCCTTCCCGTCGACCCATTTTTTAGGTCCCAGATCCACTTGGAGCCCTTTGAGGGACAGTGACCACACAGCACAGTGTGGAAGCAGATGCTCCCTGGACCCAGAATGTGTGGGTTTACATCCCGGCTCTGCCGTGTCCAGGTCTCGGGTTACGTAACCTCTCCAGCCGCCCTAAGCAGATTCAGCAGCATCTCCCCAGAGCTGGCACACAGGAAGTATCCAGGCGGTGCTGAGACTGCCATCCCCATCCACCCGTGTGAGGTGGGCCAGCTGAAGGTGATGAGCCTCCCGCCAGGCTGTTAACCCCAGGCAGAAAGCTGGAGTCCCCACACCCCAGCTGAGACAGTGGCCGGTGAGGGGGGTGGGGAGTCCTGTAACTGTGATGAAGTCACAGCCCCTGTGCTTCAGGGATCCAGAGTTTGGACCTGCCTCTGGTCTCGGGGACCTTTCAAACCTGGGGCTGCCTGGCCACCGATGGCCCTCAGGGACTTGGGCTTGTGCCCTGTATCCAGGTGAGGCCAGGCCCAGGGTCAGAGGTTTGCTTTTTGCCTTTGTCTTACTGGACGATGGCAGAAAACCCTAGAGAGCAGTGTTCTCAGCTGTGAGATGGGGGTGGTGTCAGGTGGGGACGGGGATTTCCAGAAAGGTTTTCTAGAAGCGTCCCCATTTCTGAGTGCCACCTGGCCCTCCTTCCCAGCCCAAACCTGAGAGCAGAGGTGAGGTTCAGATTTGGGGCCCAAAACAGAAAGGTCAGAGGTCAAAGGGAAGGGGTTGGGCCAGCCCCATCCTCACTCGGCTGTAGGCTGGGAAGAGGAAGTGAACATACTGGTGGGGGTGGGGGACGGAGGAGGCAGCGGGTAGAGGACCCCTTGCCTGTCCCAGGCCCCTTACAGCCATTCTTCTGGTGTTGCCTGTGACAAGGGCCTCGGCCTGAGCTAATCACTGGGCTCCCGGCCCTTTTTCCCCTCTCCTGAGCCAGTGAGCCAGAGCCCACTTGGCCCACAACAATACATTTTATTCACCAAACGTATAGCCTGGCTGCCCGAGGGCCTATGGAGAGGCCAGCAGGCGGAGGCCGGCCTGGGAGGAATCCGTTGTGAGGGACCGAAGGGACCTTGGTGGGACGCCCAGGGTTTGGGGGGTCATGGATAGCGTGGGGAGCGGGGGGTGGGGCCACTGTAGGACTTGGCTTCTCAGGATAGGCCAGCTGTTTGGAGAGAGAGGATGAGGGGAGGTCACATGGGCCAGGAGAAACCAGCCAGACTGGGGGTCCAGGGCTGGAGTCTTGGGCGAGTCGCCAGGTCTCTCTGGGCCGGCCTTGGTTTCCCCATCTGGAATGTTGGCAAGCTCAATGAGACAGGAAATTCAGAGGTAAGGGGCTGATGCTGGGGACCCTTGTAGATAAGGGGCCTTGCGCTGACCCATGAGTGGGCCCAGCTGGCAAGCCCGCTGCCTGCCAGGAGGTGAGGTCTGAGAAAGGACAGGGCCATGGCCACTTCTCCTGGCACCCATGGCCCTTGCCCTAACCTACCTGCTGGTTTCAAGGCTTCAGAAGAACCTAAGCCCTTCCCTTCCTCCCCAAATCTCCCGTTTCCTGTTTGCTTTATAAACACCGTCTACAGTTTACATAGGGTATTAACCCTGTCACTTCATATCATGCTCAGAACAACCCCACAGAGTAGGTACTGTTGTTGTTCCTGTTTATGGATGAGGAAGGTAAAGCTCAGAGAGGTTAAGTGTCCTCTGCAGGGTCACAGAGCTGTTAATAATAAGGACAAATCAGGACCAGACCTCAGACCCTCAGACTCCAGGTGGATGCTTCTGCATCAGACTCTCAGACCATTACTGTGTCCAGTGCCGTGTCCCATGGCCCCAGTCCTGGGGTGTCTGTCTGCCCTCATCAGGGTGACTCTTGTCTAAGCCACATGGTCTAGTTGGGGAGCAGTGCCCCACAAGAAAATCCAGTGCAAGCACTATGGCTGAGTGATTGGGGGGCTGCTGGAGGGGCAGGCAGAATTGGAGGTGGTAAAGGGGAAGGCATTCCAGGCATGGGGCATAGCTGGAGCAGAGGCTTGGATACAAGAACCTGCCTAGAACAGTGTGCTGTGTTCAATGTTGCCTGGGTCAGAGGAATTGTGTGTCAGGGAACTTGGGGAACTCAGGTTGTCAAGAAAGACTGAGCTTGAATGTAGCGTTTCTTCTTTCGTCAGCAGGGACCCACTGAAGGTGTGGGAGCAGTGGACTTGATTTGGCAAAAACCTTAAAGTCGGCAGCCAGATCAGGCAGGAGCCAGGGGTCCCTCCAGGTGGTAGCAGGAGGAATGCAGGTGTGAGGCAGGCGTGGGGCAAGGCTCTGGGGAACTGCCAGAGCCTCAGCAGATCCAGCCAGAGGCTCTGAGAAAGGCACGAAAATGAGATGGAGGAGGAGACTCTGGTGAAAAGTCCCCTTCCAATCCAGGAGGGGCTCTTCTCTCTAAAAGGAGTACTCCCCTTCTCCATGCCTCCGCCAGACTCTTCCTATCTGAAGACAGGAGGCTCCCTCCACTGCATCTCCCCCTCCCTCAGGCTGACTCCCTCAGCCCCCGATTTTCCAGGCCTGGGCTGGGAGGCGATCCAGAGCGGCCTCTGTAGGATGACATCACCCAGAGGCCCGCCTGCCGAGTGGTTTCTCATCCGGATACCTGCTCCCAGCTCACGCCCGCCCGGGCAGCCCAAAGAGGCAACACCCTAAGACGCAGATGCCAGAGAGAGTGAGCAGGGGGCTTGTGTGTGCTGGGGGGGTGGGGGGAGGAAGCCAAGAAGACAGAGTGTCTGTGTGTCCATCTGTCTGGCCCCTAACCTGCGGGCCACTGCCTGTCTTCTGTGCTCTGAAATGCCTGGAGAACACTTTCTTAAGTTTTCTACCTGTGTCCCAGAGTGTCAAGTCTTCAGAAAGCTCAGGCCAGTTTTCCAGGGGGTGGGGTGGAGGTGGGAGTAGCATATGGATTTTCCCCCCTCTTTGAAAGCTTGCCTCAGATTTCCTTGGCTTGGATTAAAGTGAGTCTCTCCATTCCCCGGGACCCTGCTTACCCTCTCAAACAGCTTTTGGCCTAAACCTCATCACTCCTCACTTCTCCCTCCTCTGTTTCCCCATCTCCCCTTTTCTGCCTTCCAGAATTTGTAGTTTCCCCAAATTTTGGAGGTGAGGCCCTGCTTGGTGTATCTGTATTGGCTCAAAGCAAGCTGTTAAATCACCTTGTTCATCCATCTGCCCATTCATTCATTCATTTCACCCAACAGTTACAGAGTCCCTACCCTCAGTGGGCACTGTGAGTCTGGTCAGTAGGTACCGCAGTCAAGAAGAAACCCACACTCCAGTCTCCATTGTTGTTGTTTGCCAAGTCGTGTCTGACTGTTTGCGACCCCATGAACTGCAGCACACTAAGCTTCCCTGTCCTTCACTCTCCCATGAGTTTACTCAAATTCAGTAAGCACTGACTGTTTGCCCAAGCGTGTTCGGGTCGGATGAGGCAGGGGCCCTCCTCGGGAGCAGTGGCACATGGAGGGCAGAAGTCAGGACATGAGCAGTGGTGTCAGGTAGGCCCAGGGGTTCAATCCCAACTGTGTGACCTTGAGAAAATTGCCTCATGAGCCTTTGTCTGCATGTGTGTGAAATGGGACGCTAACACGTGCCTACTCTTGGGTCCTCCTGAGGCTCCTTTGAGACAGCGATGTGATCTATGCTAGGTGGGCATCCCGAGTGGGCACTGAAGAAAGCTTGCTGTTGAAGGTTGGCATCATCTGGGCTCCTGGGGCTTTGGAGCTCTCCAACCAGCTGGAGAACTCCCATCTTCTCTTTGTACATTGAGTTTTCCTCTCCCACACACTGGCAAGGGAGCCTCTGTGTCCCACAGGCTCGGGACTGGCCCTTTTTGTGTGAGATGCCGTGCCAGCAACCCCCCTCCCCTCCGGGGACACAGTGGAAAGTGGTCTCTGCCAGCCCCGTGCCCAGCGCTGCCTCTGTCCGGCTGGCAGGGGCAGGCACGGAGCCTGGCCCCATCTGAGTGCAGAGCCAGGCCGGCCCTGCTGCCCAGCTGTTGGTTGCATTTCGGCCTGAAACCCAATCCTGGCTTTGGAGGGGCCTGGGGCAGTGCGTGTGCATAGCCATGTGGCAGGCCTCGGCTGGGACAGGGTCCCTCCTGCTTCTCCCAAGGGCTCAGCAGGGACTGCAGGGTCCTCACCTCGGGAGAAAATTGGCAGGGGAGGTGGATTTCTTTCCCCAGCATCGCCCCCTGCCCTCGGTTAGATGGAGCCCCTCGGAGGGAAAGACCCAAAGATCTAAGCAGTGTTTCTCACCCTGGCTCTGTATGAGAACCACAGGTTGTAGGGCAGGGGTCTTAAAAAAAAAAATAGCTGAAACCAATTAAATCAGCCTCTTTGGGGACGGGGCTCAGGCATCCATGTTCTTTAGAAGCTCCCCAGATCTTGTGGGATCAAGTTGAGGTTCGTTGTGAGGGGAATGGGACGTCTGGAAACAAATCAGGGGCAGTTCTGTAACAGAAAGAGACAGACTTGAACTTAAAACACAGAGTGAATATGGTTCTCTCCATGAAGGCTGTGTGGGCTGGTTCAAGCCTCTGCTCTGGGTCTCTGAGGTGTCCTTTGTGAAATGGGAAGGTAATAAGATTGTTGTGAGGACAAAAATGTGACAGGGTACGTGCCTGGCATAGAACATTTGCCAAGTTAGACTCAGGCATGTGGGGAATGTTAACTGCAGGCTGAAGCACCAAGGGGGCCGTGTGGAGCCCAGGGACACTCTCAGCCATTTCTATACTCAGGCTGGTGGTGTGAAGCCCCCAGCGTTTCAGGAGATTGGTAGATGTGTGGGGCAGTAGACACGTAGTTTAAGACGTATACTAGGAGTTCCCTTTTCGGGGAAGATCAGAGGGGAGGGGTCTGGGAAAGCTTCCTGTAGGAGGTGACCAGTGGGTCTCTGGTTCGTGGATCCTTTCAGCTCCTAGCCGGTCACGTGTCATCTTAGGTGCTCCCCACTCCACCCTAGTGAAGACGACCATGAGGTGCAGAGAGGTTTTAGCTGGAGCTGGGATGCACAGGGTCTGTCCACCTTCCATCCCGGTGTTTGCTTAATGCCTGTGGCACTGGTCCAGCGGCTCCCAGTCCACTGAGCCGCTGCTCACTCCAGGGCACCTCCCGCCTGCCGCCCTCCTCCCCCTGAGCCCCACCTCCTGACCCCTCGGGATCCTGAAACTGCCAGGAGAGGGCGGCGGGAGGCTTCCGGGAGCCTGACCACAAGCCCCAGCAGAGCTTAAAAGCAGAGGGACGCTGAGTCGGTCTCCATGTGGCCAGAGGGCGGTAGCCAGGCCAGACGATGCCCCGACGGGAAGCGGGGCTGGAGGCGAAAGCCTGAAGCCGGACCCTGGGCACCAGGCCCATGGGCTCAGTGGCCGCGCCTTGGTGAGCCCGAGGGGCAAGAGTGGAGCCGAGCTTGAGGAAAAGTTGGCGGGGGGCGGGCTGGGCTCTCCAGCGGCGGCGCTGGCGCTGGGACTTTCTTCTTGGGTTTCAAGTAAACAGTCTCGGCCCTCCTCCCCCTCCCCTGCCTCCACCCCCAGCTCCTCATTCGATGGGTCTCATGTGTTTCTATTTAAGGGCTGCGAGTAAACCCCAGTGATTGGCGGCCTCAAACCCTCTTGACTTCTCGCCTGGGCCCGGCCGTGGAGCCGTCCTCTCCCGCTCTCTCCCTCTCCCTCCCGAGGGGAGGACTGCTGACTCTCTTTCTCTGGGTTTACAGGGGTTGGGGAGAGGCCCCGAGCCCTCCTCCTTGCCTGGCCTTTCCTCTCTCCTCGACTCCAGAATCAGCCCCCATGGGCCGCCCGCCCGCCTGCCCGCGGCCCTCCCCTCACACCCCTGTGGCCGAGGGGTCTGGAGAGACCACGTCCACCCCGGGCCTCTCCTCCGACTCCCTCTGCCTTGTGCTGGGCCGTGATTAGTTCATCGCAGCCACGGGCTTTTTCCCTCTGAGTCCCCTCCGCCTCTGTCTCATCTCTGCCTGTCTCTTCCCACTCCCCGCCCCCTCCGCTGCCCCCTGGCTCCCCATGTCCCCCGGTCCCCGCGGCGCAGCGGGCCGGTGTGGGGCCCTGCTATATGGCCTGTCCTTGGGGCCCAGCGAGCTGCGAGCCCTGGCTGCGGGCAGCCTCTCTGAGCGGCGCTGGCGACCGAGCAGCCTCCCCCGAGGCCGATGGACAGGGGGCGCCCCGGCCGCGGGGCCATGGCCGGCCGCTGGCTCACCGCGTGCTTTCTGCCCTCGCCAGGTGCCGACACCAACGCCGAACCCATGATCCTGGAACAGTACGTGGTGGTGTCCAACTATAAGAAGCAGGAGAACTCGGAGCTGAGCCTCCAAGCCGGGGAGGTGGTGGATGTCATCGAGAAGAACGAGAGCGGTGAGTGCCCGGCTGGCTGGCTGGCCAGCCCGGAGACCAGGAGCCCGGCTGGTTTTTGTTCCCCTCCTCCTCCCCCACCTCTGCAGCTATACGTTATTTCCATCTGGTGGGGAGAGGGCCGAGGAGGCTGAAGTTTCCCCTGTTGGTTTGGGCTGCAGGCCAGCAGTTTGCCTGGTGGTGGAAGAATGTCTCCAGCGCTCGGAGTAATTAACTGGCTTGTGTTAATGCAAGGCTAGGGTGGCAGCACGGGTACCACCGTCCAGCCCGTGAGCAGGGACCCTGTGCCCTCCAAGGCCCAGGGTCAGTTAGCGCCCAGCTCGGGGGCATCCTATAGCATCTTCTCCCTTGGGGCCATAGTCCAGGCTGGGAATGAGGCAGGGGTGGAAGAACCTGGCTGGCTGGTGGGACAGGCAGGCCATGACGTCACTGTGGGGTCCAGGATCCTAGGGCGGGTTGTCTGAGGAAAGGCCAGGCCTGTGGAGGTTGGCTGGTGTCTGGGCGTTGAGCTGACTGCCCCCTGCTGAGCTGAGACGAGGGCCCAGACAGGGGGGATGAAGTCAGGTCCTGGGGCCAGGGAGGGTCCCACAGCAGCCGCCCTGTCATTGGGAACTGAGGCTTTGTCCTGTCTGGGCCAGGCAGATGGCTGTCTGGGGGGCTGGCAATTCCCGGGTTCTCGACGAGTGGGCCTCAGTGCCTCAGCAGCAGGAGTCTCTCAGAGGGAGTGAGGAGCGCTCGAGTCCGTCTGTCAGTCTGAGGTGCAGGCCCGTGCGACCCCCTGCAGGGCCCGGGGTGAACTCTGGCCCAGGACACCCATTGTCAGTTTGCTGGTGACCTGCTGGCGCTTGAGTTGGTTCCTGGGGTGCTCTGTTTTGGTTTCGGTTTGCAGTGGGGGACGGCCGCCGCACCGAGCCTGTGTTGGAGCCTCTCTGAGCTGTGTTTGGAGGACACTCCCAGGGGGGAGGGGCCTGCTCTTTTCCTGTTCCACTCTATTCTTCCCAGTGTTTTAAGCTCTGACAGGAAGACGGACCAAAGGACATCTGTGCCCACTCTAGAAAGAGAAAAACTGAGGCACAGAAAAACTGAGGGGAAGTGAGACACCTGAAGTCAAAAACAGAACAGGAATGTTCTTGGGCCCCTGGTTTATGTGCCTAAGGGCAGCAAGTAGTGAAGTAGCAATAAAGGTACTGAGGAAATCCCAGCAGGCCTCCTGGGGGAGGTGAGGTTAGGCTCCTGCTGCAGGAGGCTCGGGGGCTGTGCTGAGAACAGGGCTGTGATGCCAACATAGACCTGACTCATGGCCCTCCTGGGCGTGGAGTCTTCAGAGCTTGTTCCCCTCCCAGAGGTCAGGCTCTGCCATTGTGTCTGGAGTCATCACCGCTGTGGTTGGCAGCCGTTGTCCCCACCCAGCTACCCCCAGGGTAAGGCCTGTGCCCTTCACCCCAGGTGCCCACACTGGTCCCCTTCCTGCATGGCGTGGCTTTCGGCCTTTGTCACAGTATCAGCCCCACCTCCCCGTCCCCACAGAAGCTGCATGTCTGAGGGGCCTGGCTCTGGAACCCTAAGCACCTCAAGACCCAGAGAAAGGGCTCTCTACTGGTGGGATTGGAGACACCCACTGAGGAGGTAGAGACATGTTTGTTTGGGGGCGTGGTCCAAAGGAAGGTGTGTCAGCTTTTCTATATAAAGTCGGGGCTGCTCAGAAGTAGATTTCTGGCTTAGGGACCCTCTTGCCTCATGTCACCAGTGCAGCTCTATGTCTGTATGGGGAGCGGTGAGCCCCCGTGTCCCTGGGTACCAGCTGCTGGCCAGGATGGCTACAGAGGAGACCACCCCCCACCAACTAAAGGCAGTCAGCCTGTTATCAGACTCCTTGGTTCCCTTTGCCCTGTCACCCCACATCCAGTACCCTGCCTGGGAGTGGAGGAGGGGGCACCTTGACAAAGTGGGGCTTCTGCAGCGAACCTGGAACCATAAGGTACTCCTCTCCTGAGGAGTCCCCGATGGCTGTCTGAGGGGCTCAGGCAGACTGACTCCCCAGAGCAGCCCAGTCGGCACTCTGACCCTCTGAGGGAGCTGCCATCCCTAGAAGCGGGATTCTGCCCACCACCCACCTGCTGGGTGACTTTAGGTTCCTTCCTCCCTCTGGGCCTCTGCCGCCCCTTCTTTGAAATGGAGACAGTCTCCTGGGTGTTCAGAATCAGGGCCTGGAGCAGATGACTTCCCCAAGCCCGCTTCACGGCTGGGAGATGCCACAGGGCCCTGGGTGTCAGGTAGACAGAGCCTCCCTGAACATGTCCTTCCCACTTCCCTGGACCTCATGTCTCTCCCCTTGGTGAATGCAAGGACCTTAGAGTGCTGTGTTCACCACGCAGCTTCCACACTGTCTGTTGCCGCCTGAAACAAGGAGCCCTCCTGCAGTGTAAAACCAGCTTAACCGGAGAAACTGAGTGGGTGAAGAGGAGAAAGGAAGAGGGCCAACTGCAGATCCTTGGGAGAGTGGTTTCCCAGTTCAAGGAGCTGGATGGCTGATGGTGGGGGAGGGGAGATGTGTTGTGCATCCTGCAAACTGGCTTTGGAAGGAGTGGTGAGTGAGGCTTTTGAACTCCAGGACAAAGAGTCAATTGTGACGCCTTTGACCTTAGGACTGGCGGGCGTCTTGAGGGATTTCCACTCAAATTGTTGGGGCAGCAGCTCCAATTAGCACCACCCTGCCCCCTGGGGGCTGGCCTTGCCCTCTGGGAGCCAGGGCTCTTCCTGTATCCCCGTCTCACTTGGCTGAAAGCTCCTTGAATAGGGTGTCCGTAGAGGGACCCAGCCACCTCTGTCTCTGCTCACTTGTTAGAACCCTCTGGAAGGGACCACATAAGTCTCCAGGGGATTTTTGACGTGTGGTTGTGCCCATACTCTGTAATCTCATTCATCTAAAGAGAGATGTGTCTAGAAGGCAATTCAGAGTCAGTAAATAGTAAACACAGGTTCAGGCCATGCACTTCACATGCATCATCTTACTGGAATCATGGAACAACCCTGTGTGGTAGAAGGCACTTTAAGCACTTTGCGTCTGAAGTAACAGGTTAAGAGGTTAAGTCATTTTCCTAAAGTCCCAACAGCTGAGATCTCTCCCTTCTCCAGAGGAAGTGGGGGGAGGGTGAGAATGGGCTGATCCCAGGAAGGATCATCACTGAGTTGGCGATGCTGCAGGTCAAGGACAGACATGGCCTGGCTGAGATGATGACAAGGCTCCCTGGAGCATTGTTGCAGGAGGATGGCTCTGTGTGCCTCTTTCCAGCATGGTGCTCATTGGTAGTGGGGATTCTTGTTGTTAATTGTCAGTTGGAGCTTGGGGATAAGCCACAGCTAAGAGGATCTGAGAAGGGTGGTGAATTCCCAACATCAAGGACAAGCCTATTCTGGGGAATGCAAGTGGATACATGTCAAAGACGCCCACAGTGGTGGGACTTGAGTGGCTTCAGGGAAAAATTTTTGATTAAACAGTGGGCGTGGGGCCCAGCCAGATAAGGACTCTCTCCATTGATCTACAGGGACAAATATAGCAGAAAGACTCAGCAGTTTTGTTAGATTTGCCAGCCATTTTTGTCTTATCCTTGAAAAGCCCTCCACCCCTGACATAAACAACAGTGCCTGAGATGCTGCCTTTGTAGGACATTCTTACGCCTCAAAGACCACATTGGCTTTACCTTCCAGCAGGCAAAATCTGGTCTGACTTCTGGCAGAATCTTGATGGCAGTTGCTCTGATTTGTGTGTTAAGCAAAGCTGCCTCCAACTTTCCAGGATGGTTTCCTTCTCTCAGGACTAGGAGCCAGCCAGGGGATGTGGGGATATGAGTCAGCAAATGCTCATTTTTTTTTCCTGATCCAGCTTTCCTACTCTGAGTCTTTGCTTCTTTCCTGGTACTAGTGTGATAACCTTGGGAGATATTATACAATACTTCCTTGGAGGCACGTAGCTATAGGACTAAGGTAAAAGTATTGTATTGGCAAGAAATTTTGAACTCCTGGTCCATACAGGTGAGAAATTTTATAGGTGAGAAAACTAAGCCTTGGGGAGTTTGAGAATCTTCAGTCTCCTCCAAAGTCAATGCTTTAGTCCCAGTTGAGTAGTGAGCAGAGGACAGACACCCACTCAAACTTACTCAAGGGTTTACTGAAAGGATTCGGGAAAATCTCACTAGAACCCAAGGATGGGAAGGACACCCCAGCCTCACAAGGACTGGGAACCAGAAAACTGGTAGGAGACAAAGCAGCTACCCTTCTCCCTCTCTCCAGTACCAGGTGGATTTAAAGCCCAGCTGTGATCTCCTAACTGCAGACCAGGCTTCCTTCTCTTCCTGTTCGCTCATAACAGTGGCCCATTCACCAGATGTTGGCTTGTCAGGACCAGATTTTTCTGTCAAGATAACAGCCATCAACTGTAGATGGTCTCTGGTTCTACAGGTTCAAACTTTGAAGCTTGAATCTGATTGGTTCCTGGCCAGCCAATGGATTGGCAGAGTTTGGATCAGGTGTCCAACTCTGGGCCAATCAGTTGTGTCCAGGAAAAATGTCATAGGATATAAACATGGCTACCTTTCCAACCTCTTCATCAGTGGCTTGGAGCACAAGTTTTAAAGAAAAGAGATATAGGGAGGTAAGTTATCTGAAAACATGTTGGCTGCATCTATTTTACTTATTTAACAGCTGTGTGTAGTAGAGAAAGCAAAGAATCAGGAGTCAGAATGTTAGGTTTAAGATCTAACTGTGTGATATAAGCAGGAATCCATTTCCTCCTGAGTATGAAAGAACAGTGATACATTCTATATGGGTTTTTTTTCCTAGAATGAAATGTAACCATTTATTATTTGACAAGTATCTTTATCAATAAGACAAACTAATAAGCTTTCCTCTCAGATTTGTATGTCCTAATGATTATTTTTTGTTGTCAAAAATGATACATTCTTCAGTCTTATATTTTGTGAGTTGGAAACTTCTTAACACTGAAG